CAATATATATTTCATGAATAAATTCTGCTATTATCTTCAGAAAAGAAATAGGGAGATAGGAAATTCCATTTCATAACAGTTTGGTGAACTAGAGTTGTTTATCAGATGCATCAGTTTTAGTGTGAGATGAAAGCTCCAAAGTGAAGGAGTTTCCAGTTGGAGCCAGCAGGCAGATGTTGAACAGAGAATAATACAAGTATGAACTACTGCCATGTAAAAAATTTTTGAGGAATACTAATCATATTTCCATCTTATACCAGAGATGGAAAATTTGTGGATCTTTCAAATGTTGATGGAGTGTTACTTCCAGCAATCCCAGTGATCATATTTTAATGGTGATAAATTTTGAAAGTTTAGCCACATCTGGACAGATACACATACCTGAACTCTATTATAAATGCAGGCTATTTTTAAATGACAGCAATTACATCTTATTTTATTTCCCTTGTTGTTGTTGCCTTTGATCTGGAATTTTCCTGTTGCTTTATGCTACTTGATTGGATCCACACATAATTAGTGGGGTGGGGGCAGCAGTATTTTTCCTCTGAAATGTGAGGCACAAGCTACCACAGATTGCCAGACTGGACAAGTTGGATTTGTTATAGCTTGCTAAGTCCTGCACTAGAATTTTTCCGAAGAGAAATAAACCAATGCCATACAGGTAAGTCCTGTTTTGACATCAGATTACTTTTGGTCTCCTATATTAAATGGTGAGTGTACATATTCTATGTATGTTTTCATTTTGTTATATGCGGTTTTCACATAATTTAGCTTAAAATTACATTTTAGTATGTAATTAACATATTGTACAACAAATTTTGAAAAAATCTTTGTGAAATGATTATTGATTTACACACTTTACTTTTTATAATTTATTTGCTCTGGTTAAATAATCTGTGACCGCTGTCTTCCACTAAAATAATTTATATCTTTAAAGAAGGTGTAGTAACAGTGAAGGACTAAAATTTGCAAAATGGAAACTGACATTTTGGGGATAGGAGGAAAACAAGTTTATCAGTTTTCTATATACTTCTCATTGGCTGAGATATAAAACAAGATAGCAGAAATCATTTGCAATATAATTGTAATATTGAGACTGGAAATTGAATGCACATTATAGAATACTATGTAGTAACAGTATCTGTAAACATTCAAGTGTTGCAGAGGAACTATAATTGGGTGAATTTATAAATCGTTGATTATTATGGGTATAAGCTAGGTAAGTTTGGGACTTGTACATTTTCATTCTATTCTTTATAACGAGAGATTTTGATCCTTTTGCTTTCAAATTCAATTAACCGTAGTTTGGGATTGTGACTGAACCTTCATATGTTTTTGGGAAGCCATTTATAGGAACCACAATTTGTCAGTATTTGATCATAATGTTTAACTATTATTGATCAGAACAAACCTTCTAGTTCTTCCTTACAAAAGAGTTGAAGCATGGAGATTGTAGTTATATTTCTGAATGGATGAACCAAAGTTTGCTGTTGCATTTGGAAGCAGCCATTGTACTGCTCTGAATAAATTATTGAATGTTGTAAGACTGTGTTTAGTGGAAGCAAGTTTCCTGCCCCATTTTTTATTTACCTGGTTGCTATCTTTTATTCAGTAAAGCTAGGATTGTGCTTTTCCCTTTCTTCCCTTCCTTTACTGAGAACAGTACACCCCCTTGCACTTAAATAAGTGTCACTTGTTCTCAGCAAGAAAGCATGAAGTCCCAAATCCTGTCTCATTTATGCCAATCTCCTTGTGGATAAGGTGTTTGTGAACCTACGCAGGTCACATACAATTGATACAAGTCATCAGTGACAGTCATGCTTCATAAATTGATTGACTACAAAAATCTGACTCCACAGTCCAGAAAACGTTCTATAGATGGGACTAATAATTGTCCGAATTTGATTACATTTAGATGAATGTGTGCAAATACAAAATTCAAGAAGTATCTTTCAAGTAGAATGTTTATAGTAGACATAATATTGCTAATAAACACCAGGTCTGGCTCTGTGGACTTTTCAGGTAAATTTGTTTAAAAAATTTGTTTAATAAGAAAAGATAATGTGAAATTGTAACAGGACAGACAAAAGTATAAATATAATGATTTGAATTGAGATAATCAAAACAAAGTTGAGAAAATTAGAAGAGGGGAAAAACTACGCTGTTTCTCCAACAATACGGCCTCCCCCAATAGGAAGTCCCAGCATGTTTTATAGGCATGAAATGAAATTAAGCCCTTCTCCCCAAATTAAGGCCTATATTAAAACATGCGAAATGGGGGGGAATGGTGGGGGGGCTTGCCGTTAGGAAGTACTTTTGTTGCACACGCAGATATGGTGCTGCCTGCGTTGACCCTGATACGAAGTGCCCCACCAATGCTGAGGTCAACATCCAAGCTGTCACTGCCCACCCGCCCGAACATGCAAGGGGGGGAATTAAGTCACCCCCCAAAAGACGGCCTACCCATTTTTTCAGGGCTCAAAAAAAAAATAAGACCCGGCCTTATTATATGAGAAACACGGTATGTAGAAAATATAAAATGGTAATAAGATATGGAATAGAATATAAAAATGAGCATGAAATTGAGTTTTGTGTCTATGAAGAAGTAATAACCTGGGACCATGCTATTTTCAAAAAAGAAGTTTTATTTGTATTTTATTTTTGTGAAAACCCAAATACAATTTTCAAAAAAAAAAGTATATCAAAATTCATTTCTGTGGGACTTAGGGACGCTTTTGTGAGCATACCAGTACAGGTGCTCTTTCTTGGGCCTTCAAACTTCTCTCTTTTGTCCTCTTTGTTATTTTGCAGGATGCAGAGAAAATATTTTTTATTTCTTCTCTTGCTGTCAACAATCAGCTTCTCACAATATCTCACTTAATCACTAGAAAATATACCGCTAACCAATGAGCTGTGTCTAAAATCGTGATTAACTCCACACTGACGAGCTTTGTATATCTCTAAATACCAAACAGCTGAATGCTGTATTTCCAACATATTGTTGCTGAAGAACAGGAAGTGCAGGGAGCCTCTGTTTTCAGTTTATTTCACAGCATAGTTATACCTAAAATAAGTTTGTTATAAATTATAAAAATAATTTTTAAAGCAAAGTTTTCAAATGTAATGGAATAGAAAGAAATTTTAAAAAAATTATAGACAATAAAGACACAACATTTTTTTTAAAAAAAATAATTACTTTTAGTTAATGATTTTATATTAACACCTTGCTTTTAGCGAGTAAAAGATACCTAAGACTGCTAATAGGCAATTGAATTCTCCAAGGAAAGGAAATGATCAGCCCAGAATATTTAAGTTTCATTTTCATATCTTTTTCTTCTTCACATTTTACCCTCACGATCTTTGAAAATTGATCAATGAAAGAAAGATGCTTATGAATTTGTGATTTGCATTATACCATTTCTCCTGGACAGATATTCCACTTAAAAATAACCTTAGCTAGTTTGGCACTGAGGAAAATGGAGCAAAAATAGGAATGAGAAATAAAAGAAGTATCCACATTTAGAGAAATCCAACTTTTCTGGAAGTAACAAGAAATTTGCACTGTATATTTAAAAAGTCAGAAAATAAAGGAAGGCAAAATCAAATAAATCATTGTGGCAGATGGCTTGCTAGCTAGAATCCTTAGCAAGAGTGATAGTCCAGAAGATTGATTTTGGTACAGAATTTACTCATCTAGTTTCTGCTTAGCTTTATTGCACTGAGGTAGTTTCACATATGGTAACTTGTTTTCATGTCAGTGAAGGTTAAGAAATTGTGTATACTCTGATGAAGAGTGGGGAGGAAGAAGAAAACTGATATTTCCTACATAAAATGAGACAGTAGTTGCTTAGCCCATCCCTAGAATTGTTATGGCAATAAGTCCTTTTCTTTATCAAGCTTTGGATATTACAGAATGTAATTTTTTCTACATTGAGATGATTTTGATAGAGAAAAAAGTTGATGAGGTAGGATTACAGCCTTGGTTCAATATATTATGTATTTTACTAGCAACCATACATCTCATTTCAACCAGCTACCCATTTTTTTCTGCAGGCTACATACCTATACGCATAGTTTTCTCTAATAGACTAAGTCTTAGGATGTCACTGTGACTTCTTTTAATACAGTAGTTCCAGCCAAACTTGGCTCTGACAATATACTTGGAACTGATCTTATGGAGTCATCCAGGGCACCATGTACTCTGGCTGAAAGCAGTCATCTTTGGTTGATGGGGCATAAGGATACAGACAAGATGTTTTGAACAGTTTGATTGATCTGATTGTATACTTGATTCCTGTCCACTTGATTTACATGTGGCCGAAGAGAAGCAACAAATTGTGTCTAAGAGGTGACTGATCAATGCATGTAAAAAGAAGCCAAATTGGGCAGAAAATAGACCGTGGCTTACTTTTGAATTTCGTCAACATGATAATGAGGGCCTTTGAGAACAGCATCCCACCTGTACAACTTTTAAAGTTGTTTTTGTTAAACAATGTATGGTTCAGTTATATTAAGGCATGCAGGATGACTGTGTCTGTGTTGAGGAAATTTATAAGATTGGAAACTTTGATACATGTTTAATTTGGGGGTTCTCCTTGTTACTAATATTTAGTAACAGGAATGATACGCATTTATTTGGTACAGTATGCATGCAGTTTATTCTTTGTGATCTGTACAAGCATAATAATTAAGAGAGGACAATGGGAAGCTATTAAATGGAGAAGAGCGGGTGTTTGTAGGAGACGATGACTCTAGTAAGTGGCTGAGAGATGCATCTTAGTGGTAGGTAATACATCTGGTCTGCACTGGTGCCTGCTGCCTTATAGCATTTGTTGACATTTAAGTTGGATTTTGTGCTGCAACGTGGAACTTTTTCATCGGACACTCTAGAGTATGAGAGGCAAAGCCTCAATGGTTGGGAGTCGGGTTGCATCAGCTGCTGGCAGCTCTTCCTGGTGGAACTGATGTGGCTCATCCCAGCAGCTCTAGGATTGGTGGCTAATACGCTTTTGCCGGGATTTCAGGAATTAAGTGCCTTTTGACATTTTTCTGCTGCATCTGATAGAAATCTCCCTCTCCCTTCTGTGTTTTCTTTATGAAAAGTAGGTAACAATGCTAAATGTTAGAAGCAATATGTTACAAAGGTAATTCTTGGATCTATTGCAAGACTTCTGTTTTGGATTAATTCTGCCAAACCAGAGCCAGGAAACTAAAGTTTTATGTACTTCTTTCATGCTCTTAATAAATAGTGATGCTTGGCTGAAAGGAATTTCATGTAAGAAATTTGGATGAAATGAAGTTGAGCCAGCTATGAGCACCTTGCTAATTCATGTTTTAAATATCTTTCAGGGAAAAACTTGTTTATAATATATAGTAGTATATGGTCATTTTTGTATCAACCCTGAATTTAACATTTTAAAAAATATGACATGTCTTATAATAGTATAAAACCAAAGCACTTGGTTTTATATGTATTTATGTAAAAGTTAATTATTTTGGCTTTTTAAATGATAGCTTAAAATGCTCCAGGGCAATGAAGTGGAAAGCCACTTAAATTAATTCCAGTATAGCTTAATTTTACTTTTGGTGGGAGAATGAATGGGACAATATGAAAAGAAATAAAGTGGAAGCAGTCAGAAGCTGCCACAGAAGTAAACAGATGCAACTGTTAAATACAAAATCCTTATCATTAGCAGTGCTTTTAGGTAATCCTATATCTTCACTTTAAACTTTGGAGATGTATGCATATCAAATTGATACATGCATACATACATTGATTAGTAATAGCCTACATTGGTTTTTATTGGGGCTTTGGGTTTATTTCAGTGATAAGTGCCTAAAAATGTCTCCGGTGCTTTCACTTTTAATTTTATGCAAATAAAAATAGAAAAGGTTGCTTGGTGAAAAGTATTGGTTCAATCTGTGTATTTGAGGATGGTTTAGCTATCTTCAATTTCTGAAGGTATTTTTCCAATATTAACTCTGTGTGCTTTGTGTAAAACCTGAAATAGCAGTAGCACTTTATACTGCTTCAAAGTGCTTTACAGCCCTCTCTAAGCAGCTTATAGAGTCAGCATATTGCCCCCAAGAAGCTGGGTCCTCGTTTTACCAATTTCGGAAGGTTGGAAAGTTGAGTTAGCCTTGTGCTGGTGAGACTCGAGCTGCCAAACTGTTGGCAGCCAGCGGTCAGCAGAATTAGCCTGCAGTACTGCTTCTACCCACTGTGACACCACAGCTCATAAATAAAAGCACCAAAAAGTCTGTAATTGTTCATTAGCTAAAGTAAGTGATTTAGCTAATCTTAACAATATTTTCCAGTCTATTTTGAAAAGAATTCCTCATTGTTCTGCAAAACGAAGATATTTGTATTTATATATTTTCATCTTTCCTCCCCATTTCAATTTATGCAAGGAGAAACCCGTGCTTTATTTTGAAAGTGGCATTTTCCCAGAATTTTTTTCTAATTAGCTGTAGAAGTTCTCTTTGATATGCAATGGGAAAATTGTACCATACAAAATCATCCCGGTTTTCCTCTTTTTTCTCCTTGCAGGTGTTCTTGGGTTCATCAAGATTTTGACAATGCTGCACCGCTTGGCTCTTCTCCCTTCCCTGCGTTCCTCAGGTCGATTTTGGCAGGTGTCTGATGTGGCTGGATCCCATCCTTGTATGTATGAGAGGATTGGGAGTGGTGATTCTCCTGTTAATAGGATGCATTTGGGCAGAATTCTAGACCTGGTATCTTAATTCCCAATTAGATCGCTATAGGTGGCCAACAACAGCACCATTTTTTCACTTATAGCCAGGGACAACTCTGCCCTCTTGTGTCCTGCGGCAGCTTTGATCCTGAAAGCAGAAATGTTATTGATTACAAGCATGGCATCCTCTTTGAAGTTTATTCTAGAGGAAAAGTTCAACACTTTGACAAAACTGGAAAATTACTGTAGGTTTTAGTTTGACTCCTTTATCTGCTTATCAGTGTCTATTTTCAGGTTTCATAAATACAAATGACATATAAGAAGGAATGGAGATTCTTACTGAAGTTCCTGCTTTTGCAATTAAAAGAAGATGCAACTTGATTATTCAACAAACGTTGCTTATTAAATTTTTGTTTAACATTTTTTTAAGATGAGGCAGTTTATGAGGCAGCTTTATATTTAAACATGTTTTTGAAATAGAGAAAAACATTTTATTTATTTATTAATCAAATTTATATGGCCTCCCATGTTACAAAACACTACTCTGGCAGCATACATCAATCAAATTGCAACAAACATGAAAACAGGCAATATAAAATCCAGGTCAAAATACAAATTATAAAAATAAATACAGGTGGTCCTAAAATTAGAACCACTCATTTAGTGACTGTTTGAAGTTATAATGGCACTGAAAAAAGTGACTTATGACCAAGGTTGTGTGATCAGAATTTGGGCGCTTGGCAAGAGGCCAATATTTAGGACAGTTGAACTGTCCCAGGGTTATGTGATCACCCTTTGTAACCTTCCTAGCTGGCTTCGAAATAAGCAGAGTCAGTGAGGCAAGCCAGATTCACTTAAAGACCACATGATTCACTGAACAACTGCAGTAATTCATTTAACTAGCAAAAAAGGGTCATAAAGTGGAGCAAACTCAACAAATGCCTTGCTTAGCAATGGAAATTTTGGGCTAAATTGTGGTTGTAAGTCAAGGACTACCTGTATACCAACCACAAGGAAAGGGCATCAAGCAATGGAGCCATCTGAGCATATCTCCGGTATTTTATTTAATTTAAGTGTTTGTTTTAAAAAGTTATTATAATGTCCTGATATACATGGATAATAAATGGGTAATGATAATGAAACCCCTGAAATGTTTATCTTCCTGTATGAAGATTCTGTTTGTGCCTGAGAGGTTACTTTGACAAATGTTTTCTTTGTCAACTTGAAGTCAAACAGGAAATAGAAGCTTCCATCTCAGACTTGGGACAGGGAGGAGGAATTGGGATAGGTAAGTCCAGCTGATGCTTTTGCTATGTTTCAACTGCAGGCTTACTGGCTCCAAACCTGGTGTTGAGGAATAAGTCTGCCCGAGGCTGGAGTAACATACCTTTTATCACAGTACCCCTCAGTCGCACCCATGGCAAGTCTTTCGCACATCGCAGCGAGCTAAAGCATGCCAAGAGAATTGTGGTTAAATTGGGGAGTGCTGTTGTCACTCGAGGTGATGAATGTGGCCTAGCCCTGGGCCGATTGGCATCCATCGTTGAGCAGGTAACTCAAGGTCCTTCATACCTAGCTGATTGATCTAAATTCTAAATCCATACACCAGCTAAAGTTGGTAGTGTTGGCGTATAAAAGAGGATGCTCCACAATAGATTAAATCCTTCTTCAGTCAATTGATCAGATTGCTTTAGAATCTTCCTCTTGTATTCTCCTTGTTCTAGTCCTTGATATGTTAACTATTTGTCTTTGCTGATTAAATAATGAGGAATACATAGGAATATGAACATTAATAAGTGTTCATGAGTGTCCTAAGTAAGAGAGGTAGTATCTTCGAACCTTTTCTGGTACCTATGAATGGATAAATTACACTCTTTCGGGATTATTTCAATCCTTTCAGTGCCCAACTGCTGTGGGGACACTGCATGGTTTTATATACTGATACTACGCAACGTATGTCAGCTTTGGAAGCCATATTAACACCAGAAGCTTCCATGCTGCCACATTTCTGTGCCTGGGAGATTGGGAGGAGGGATTTCATGGAGCATATGTAGTCAGGCATAATAGCATTCTTCTTTTTGGTCAAGGTCGTGGTTTTCCTGCACCTGGATGAGGAGTGGTTTAAGGGATGTCTCGAATTGGGACGGATGGTGATTGGACCATGTGATGAACTAATGGGTGCAGGGGGTGGATTTGGTTTTTTGAACTACTGAGGGAAAACCCAGTATTCTCAGATTCGGGTTTTCCCAGAGGTGCCAGTATGACAACTCTAATAAAATGGAACTATTGAGAAAATGCCTGTCTCAGTTTTTGATTGGCGTTTGGTTTTGCTGGAACGCTGACAACATAAGCGTCCTTGCTCCTTTGGAGAATGTTTGCAGTTGTGTTTGAAAACCAAAGCAGCATAAAAAGACAGAGGGCTTCTTCTTTTGGACCCGTAGGTGTCAATGCTGCAAAACCAGGGCCGGGAGATGATGATTGTCACCAGTGGTGCAGTGGCGTTTGGAAAGCAACGTCTCCGTCATGAGATCTTGCTTTCACAGAGTGTGAGACAGGCTCTTCACTCAGGACAGAACCAGCTCAAAGATATGGTGAGTAACTGGGGAGAGATGCCAAAGTTCTTGGAAATGCTACAGGTGCTGCCATAGCTGACTGAAGTGTTCTCTGATCTCTGCAGGCCATTCCTGTGCTGGAGGCTCGAGCCTGTGCTGCTGCTGGTCAGAGTGGGCTGATGGCACTGTATGAGGCTATGTTCACACAATATAGCATCTGTGCAGCTCAGGTAAAACACTTTGCATACATTTTGTGAAGGCTCTGGAGGGCTGCTAGTAGATTTCTTTATTGGCCAAATGTGATTGGACACACAAGGAATTTGTCTTGGTGCAAAAGCTCTCAGTGTACATAAAAGAAAAGATACATTCGTCAAGAGTCCAGAATCAAGGTATAACACTTAATAGTGCCAATTTTTGCAATGGGTACTTTTGTACTCTGTTCTAGGAGCTCCTGTTCATTCAAGTAATAGCACTGGGACAAACTGCAGGGGGTGAGGCTTGCACCTTCAACACCAAAGTAAAACATGCCGCCAAATTCTCTATAGTCTAGATGTATAATTATTAGTAGTAGATTAGTAGATTTAGTAGATTAGTAGATTTGAGAATTTGATAATTCCTAGGGTTGCATTTTTTGAGAATGGCAGATTCCTTTTTTATGTTTTTTCTTTTCTCTTGTGAAGTCCCGAGTGGGTATGTATGTATACCTAATAGTTAAGCATACAGCTAAGATCATTTACCTGTTAGGCAGTATACTTCAATTTCTAATTCAGTAAAAAATTTAAACAACCTAGCAGAAAGAAATTAGAAATAATTTACTGCACTTTAAAACAAACCTGCAAAGAATTTTTAAAATAAACATACCAGCAACCTTTGTCTGTGATTATATGAAATTGATTTCCTTTATTGTAAAGTTATAGTTAAAGAATCTTGGAAGTCTGAATGCGTTTCCCCTTTTCTCCCTTTATCTTCATGTCTGAGATAATCATAAAAGAACAAATCCTCATTTTCATGACTTCTAAGTTTATACACAGAGATTTTAATGAAAGTCCTCTCTCCCCACATGTCTATTAATAACTATAAAAAATTATTAAGTCAGGATTTACTTTTGCAGAATCACATAGTGAGTTTCATTTAACGAAGTGTATACTTCTATATAGCTAGTTACTTTTTCTTTCATGACTATTTCTCAAGACTCAAGATTCACTCAGTCTTCCATCCTTCTGAGGATGGTAAAATGGGGACCCAGATTGTTGGGGGCAATAGGCTGATTCTGCAATCCACTCAGAAAGTGCTGTAAAGCACTATGGAGTATATATAAGCTAAGTACTATTGCTATTGTACCAGTATCTGAAACAGACATGTTTGTTGTTGCCTTACATTTTTTTCTGACAAGAGTTTCTGCTTTTATTTACTTTGTTAGAAACAGACTTTCCGTTTGTTGAAGGAAGACACTTTAAATTTTATGGCTTCCTGAATGCCATGCTGGCCTCTTTCAGGACTTGTTGACTCTTCTTACATGGTGGAATACTCTCGTATTTGAGCAGCAATTATTGTAATATTTTATAACCTCCAGGCACAATGTTGAGGCTTGGCTCTTCAGACATTTCCTTTGACCCTCTTTTTCACTAGTCCCCTAAATTTAAAAAGGAAAAAAATACAGAATTTCCCCCTCTTGTAGTAAAATATCACTGGGTTGAACTCCTGACAGTTTCCTGTATGCTTGTATGCTTTTGGCCTAAGTCAAATACAGTTCCTTGTTAAGAATTTGGAAATGTGGGTAGTATCTGTCTAATCTTGCATATCATACTGAAACTGGTAGAGGATCATTTTTGTCAGAATAGTTTCTTTTTTTTCAGATCTTGGTTACTAACCTGGATTTCCATGATGAGCAGAAACGTAGAAATTTAAATGGGACTTTGCATGAGCTGCTACGGATGAATATTGTCCCTATCATCAATACCAATGATGCTGTGGTTCCTCCCCCAGAGCCTAACAGTGACCTGCAGGGGGTAAACGTGGGTAACATCTTTTAGTGGGTGGTTGGTACATGCTTCTTTGTAGGTACACCAACATGCTTACTGGTATGGCCATGCGTGCTTTTCAGAAATGCTTTGCATGTTGTGTAGTCCTTCATTAAAGTCTTCATTAAGGCCTATCTTCAGACTTTCATATGAGCTTGTAAAAAAGACGCTGCTGTTTTAAGAATTACATTAACTTATAAATTCTTCTACCAACCTACTAGTTGGAAAGCATGCAAATGCTAGTAGATAAATAGGTACCACTTTGATGGGAAGGTAACATGCGCCTTGGCATATAATGCAAGCCACGTGACCATGGAAGTGTCTTCGGACAATGCTGATTACCTCAGCTAAGAAATGAAGATGAGCATCACACCCTAGAGTTGGACTGATAAAAACCTTTATCTTTATAAATTCTTTCAACTAATGAGATGCCTTTCAGAAGCTGGAATAAAAGTTAGGTTACTTTAATGAATAGCAAAGAGAGTTGTGCTCAGATGGTGTCCAGAACAATCTTTCCAAGTCGTTTTTAAAGTTGACCTAATTGAGCTTTAATGCATGCTAACATGGCTTTAGTGCATAGAGTAGGAAGGAATACAGTGAGTAGGGTTGATATGTTTATCTCACTGCTTATGGAGGTAGCAATTTATTCTTTTTGTTGACTTGCCAGACTGACTGTTGACATGATGCTGTTGACTCCTAACCATGCAAATGCAAATCGCCCTCAGGGCCACTTCTGTGCTTTGCATTGCTAGGAATTAATTAGACAGATAGTAGTTCACTTGGCTAGTGTTACTGACCTTTTTTATTATTTGGGTTTTAGGTAATTAGTGTGAAGGACAATGATAGTTTAGCAGCACGGCTAGCTGTGGAAATGAAGACAGATCTGCTAATTGTTCTTTCCGATGTTGAAGGTACAAGATATTTCATTGCCTAACCAAATTAATAATGTGTTTATGCAATGTCTTGGTTCAGGAAGGGAGTGGGGGGGAGGTGGTTTTGGACTATACAATATTCAAATTGCCCCATATCACACAACCTCAAAAGGAAACAAGAATGATAGCAGCCTCATGCGCTTTATTTTGGTTCTGCTATCACTCTTGCGGTTGACTGGATATTTGAAACTAATAATGCCACCAGGGAAGAATCAAAGATACTTTAATTCCATCTGATGCATCAGATTCATTTCTATCCTTCCATTTCAGGACTTTTTGATAGCCCTCCAGGGTCAGATGATGCAAAACTCATAGATATATTTTATCCTGGAGACCAACAGTCTGTGACTTTCGGAACCAAATCTCGAGTGGGGATGGGAGGCATGGAGGCCAAGGTTGGTCAGATTTTCTTTATATTTCTCATAAATGTCTGTTTCATTTTATTATTTTTCTGGAGGAAGATTTATTTTTTATTTATTTTTGTTTATTTTGTCAAACAATTATTAGATAACAGGTATAAGTATAAACATGGTTATAAATACATGAAATGGATACGAATAAGAAAAAAAAAAGAAACAATAGGACAGGGATGGTAGGCACGTTTTGGTGCGCTTATGCATGCCCCCTACAGACCTCTTAAGAAAGGGGTGAGGTCAATAGTAGACAGTCTAAGGTTGAAGATTTTGGGGTTTGGGGAAGAAACCACAGAGTCAGGTGGAGTATTCGAGACATTGACTACTCTGTTGCTGAAGTCGTATTTCCTGCAATCAAGTTTGGTGTGGTTTATCTTTAGTTTGTATCTATTTTGTGCTCTTGTATTGTTTTGGTTGAAGCTGAAGTATTCATTGATAGGTAGGACATTGCAATATATAATTTTATATACTATACTTAGATTGAACCGAAGGTGGCGTAGTTCTAGGTTGTCTAGGTCTAAAATTTTAAGTCTGGTGGCATAAGGTATTCTGCTACGAGTAGAGGAATGGAAGATTCTTCTCGTAAAATATTCTGGGCTTTCTCAATTGTATTAATATCAGATATGTAATGCGGGTTCCAGACTGATGAGCTGTATTCAAGTATTGGTCTAGCAAATGTTTTGTATGCTCTAGTTAATATTGTAGTATTACCAGAGAAAAAGCTACGTAAGATTAGGTTAACAACTCTTAATGCCTTTTTGGCTATGTAGTTACAGTGGGCTCTAGCACTTAGATCATTTGAGATGAGTACCCCAAGGTCCTTGACAAAGTTTTTGTCATCAACAAGGTCTTGACTGTCAGCTTGTATTTTATTTTTTGATTTTTTTTGCCAATATGTAAGATAGAGCATTTATTTGTTGAGATGTGAAGTTGCCATTTGTTTAACCATGCTGACACATAGTCAAGGTCTTTTTGAAGGGTAGCAGCATTGTCAGTGGTGTTGAATAGCTTTACATCGTCAGCGAAAAGAACGAAGTTGCTCTTAATATAATCACAGAGGTCATTAATATAGAGTATGAAGAGAGTTGGTCCTAGAATGCTGCCTTGGGGGACACCACTGTTGACAGGTACAGGATTTGATAGGACACTCCCAATTTTGACCATTTGTTGTCTGTTTGATAGGAATGCTTCTATCCAGTTATGCAGTTGTCCAGAGATACCATAAGACCTTAGTTTTAGGAGTAGTTTGTTGTGTACCACTGAATCAAAGGCTTTACAGAAGTCTATGTAAATTGCATCAATTGCTTTGCCCTAATCAAGTTGTGTAGTCCATATGTTTTTACAGTGCAAGAGTTGCAGGTTATAGGACAGTTTCCTTCTGAAACCAAACTGTTTGTTAGAGAGTAGGTTGCTTGCCTCTAAGTGGAGGATAATGGATTGGTTAATAATTGATTCCATGACTTTACAGGTGACACAGCAAAAAGAAATTGGTCTGTAATTTTCAACTAGGCTGGGGTCTCCCTTTTTGAAGATGGGAATGACTGTGGCTAGTGACCATAGATTTGGCAAGGAGCTGGTCCTGAAAGATTTTTCAAAGATTATGCTTAGAGGTTTAGCTATGGCAGTTAGCTTTTTAAAGAAGCTATGGCAGATAGCTTTTTTAAGAAGTAGGCACAAACTCCATCCGGTCCAATAGATAAAGATGGTTGTAGATTGCATAGTGCTTGATGTTTAAATAGCACTTTGGAACGTCTGTTGATGCTTTTGCATAAATCTCCTAATTCCTTAAATGGAAAGTTTACTTCTGCATTCTGTTTTTTTGTCCATGAAAGAGACTAAAACCACAAGCTGCCCTTATATGTAGATGTATGTATTTCTATAGAAATAAATATAAATATGTTTCTGATTTCTGTATCTTACAGAAAAATAATTAGATGGATGACGCATCCTTGGCATATGCCAGAAGGTTAAAATAGTTCGTTACTGTGAATATCTAAAAATGTACTTTTTACAGGTTAAAGCTGCCCTATGGGCTCTTCAAGGAGGAACTTCAGTTGTGATTGCTAATGGAACACATCCCAAGATTTCTGGCCATGTCATCACAGATATTGTGGAGGGGAAAAAAGTTGGCACATTTTTTTCAGAGGTAAAACCTGCAGGTAAGTTGGGGCTGTCATAACTATCACCTGTAAAGAAAGAAGAATATAATTTTCAGGACACAGCAGGCTAAACTTCTCTTGTCTGGTGCCCACTAGGTCCTTTGAACCACCAACTCCTAGAATTTTCCCCCTGGACTGGAAGTTCTAGTCCAAAAATGTTGGGGAAGGCAATTTTAAGCCTTTAAGCTATTTGTTCCTTTGACCATGAAAGCCATAAAGCCATGGAAGTTCTATTAGCAATTAAAGTATTATGAATAGGTGTCTTGCAGGGGAAAAGGTTTCTTTTGAAATGTGAGCATGATTTGTATGAATTTGGGAGCATTATGACACTTTCAGAATTTTGAATTTTATATGCACAAAAAAGGGAAAAAAAGACATTTCTAATAAAAAAGACTTTTCTAATAAACATATTAAATCATAATTGGGGAGCCAAATAAAGGGATAAGATAAAACCTGAAGAGGTTGTATAACTAGATCTGGTAAATATTAGCTCTGTTCACTTCAGAATTTTATATACTGTTAATGAATGGTGGATGCTACAAGAAGCAAAGATGACTATGCATCAGATTGGCCACTTTGCTATATGAACAATATGTCAGGTGTAACATAACAGGAGAATATTGTACAGTAAATACACAGTATGCATAAAAGAACAATAAGTCATAGGGTCAAGAATAAATTGATGCTAATGTGAATAGAATACAAAAGTAAGTTAAAAGTATAAAAGAAGTACCTTGAGGTGATTTGCTCATAGAATGAGAAGGAATGAAGATCAAACTTGAAAATAAATAGATGAAGAAGGAATCGGCTAAGGAAAAGAGGAGATTAAGAAATACGTGATTGGAGAGAAGTGATCAGATCCTCAAAAAAGAAAGAGAGAGATACTTAAAGAACAATATGCAATGTATGAATTAAATGTGATTGGTTTGCCAGGACAAAAGGTCAGAGTGAACATCTCTCACCCTTATGACATTCAAGAATGTCAGGTTGACCCAGGTCCTGGGATAGGCTGGTTGTAGATCCCTCGTTAGATAGAGTTAGTTTAGGGCTGGGTGTTTTGTTTTGATAATTGGGTCTTTACGTGTTCCAATTTATAATAGGTATTAAACATGATTAAATTTTTAAAATTATATCCTTGTACTACATGGTGGAATTAAAGATCAGTGTTTACTATATAATGTTCTTTGCTTGGTTTCAAAAGGACCAACAGTAGAACAGCAGGCAGAAATGGCTCGAACAGGAGGCAGAAGTTTGGCAGCACTGCAACCTGAGCAGGTATTTATTCCAGTTGTAATACAAAACGCTGTAACTTTCCAAATAGCTGTAGGTGTTTGTGGCTCAACAGCACTACAGTAGTACTCAATTTACGATCAGAAAGCCAGAATTTCCATTTTAAGCAAGGCAGTTATTAAGTGAGACATGCCCAATTTTACTTTTTGCTATAATGGTTAAGCAGTTGTTAAGAAGATCCAGCTTCCCCCATTATAGTAAGTCAGGTGAGAAGGTTGCAAATAGTGATCATGTGACTCTGGGACTCTGTATCTGTCATAAATAACATGCCAGTTGCCACACACCTACATTTTAATCATGTGACCATGGGGATGCAGCATTGGTTGTAAGCCCAGAGCTGGTCATAAGTCACTTTTTTCAGTGCTGTTGTAAGTTCAGTTGCTGAATGTTTGCAAGTTGAGAACTACCCATATACAAGAATGGATCTTGCAGAAATGTTAATGTGGATTTTTCTCTATACAAAGGTACTTATATTCTTGTACCATGGCTTTCCCTAATCTGGTAGTGCTCTCAGATGTGTTGGAGAACACCATTTGCAATTCCCATTCATCAAGTCATTGATGGATGGAAATGATAGGAAATATATCTGGAGGGCACACATTTGCAAAAAGTTGACATTGGATCCTTTTTATGCACCTCTTATGAAGAACAGTGTTGACTGCACCTTAAAGTATCTGCACCTAAGGAGAAGCAAAGTAGTAGCAGCGCCCAGGAATCATGCTTTCAGGATATTTGCAACAGTTGCTCTTCACTAAGAAAGCGGAAAGCACTGAGAAAGTTTTACTTGAGCCCATGAACCAGGTGGGGTGACATAACAGTTCAGATTTTATGTACTGGCCAAGAGGCTGACCATTTCCAGCATTGGGTGTGGTCTGCACAAATGATGACCAATGGAACTGTATTTGACTAAATTCAAGCTACAGAAAGGTAAGTTATCAAAAACTACCTGTAATGACATGGCTGATGAGCCCTTCTTATTACAGAGAGCTGAGATCATCTATCATCTTGCTGATCTTCTGACAGACCAAAGAGAAGAGATTCTTCAGGCTAACAAAAAGGATTTGGAAGAGGCTGAGAATAAAGGTACTGTGAAAAGGGTTCAGAAGCTTAACATTGTTTATGGAATAGGAGTGATTTTTCATAAGGATAAGGCATTTTTGAGATTGATTATTTTTTGTTTTCACATCCTGAAAAGATTGATGAAGCAATCTGCAAGCATTCAGAAATATTTGATCAAATCCCTTTGAAACTTTGTAGTCCTGATTTTTTTTTGGGGGGGGGGGCTTTTCATAAATTAGGAATTAGCTGTTTTAACTATGGCTGCAGATGTGATCACTGCCATATTGGTATTGGTCACTTGTAATAGTTCAGACATGAACACTATCAGTGATACACGATTCTATGGCATCATTTAAGCACTGTGTGGTTAACACCTTCTTGTCCTTTCTTCCTGACTATATTTTGTTCTTTTGTACGCTGTATTATCCACTGAAAGTAAGAAAAAGACATCTTTGTAATGAATAACTAGGTCTCCTGTTCCAGGAATAGGAAAGACTTCTTCCCTGCTGTTTATTTTACCTTTCCCAGAGTTGCCTTACTGTGGATCCCATTAACTGTTGCAACTGATCTGTGCCCTCTCATTTCTGATTCCATTTCAGGGAGATTGGCTCTGCCTTTGTTAAAGAGACTCAGTCTGTCAACCTCCAAGCTGAACAGTTTGGCCATTGGTTTGCGTCAGATTGCTTCATCCTCACAAGACAGCGTTGGCCGTGTCCTTAGAAAGACAAGAATAGCAAAGGACTTGGAACTTGAGCAAGTGACTGTGCCTATTGGGGTCTTGCTAGTGATTTTTGAATCCCGTCCTGATTGCCTTCCCCAGGTATTGTTCCATTTTTATCAGTAGTAATATTATTTATTGTGAAATAGAAACATACAGTACTTTCATTTGTGAAACATATTTTAAATCACTTCTCTGATCATTCTTTTGCCTCTTTAAAATAGAATTTCAGTCTCAAGCTCATATGCTTGAATAGTATATATTTAATTTATGATGCAGATCTTCTCCTAGTGGATTCATAATCTTTAGTGTTTATCCAGTTACAGAAAAACAAGGAAATGTGTCTGGGAATTCTTAGAGATTTGGCACAATACATCTCAAGGGTGCCAGATTGAAAGAGGCTGTTCTGATAGACTAAAATGGTACGGTGTGTCTGTTCTTTACTGTTCTTACTATGTTGTTCTCTCTCATTTCCTGACAGGTGTCTGCTTTGGCTATTGCTAGTGGAAATGGTTTGTTGCTAAAAGGAGGCAAAGAGGCTTTACACAGCAATCAAATCCTTCACCATCTGACTCAAAAAGCACTTTCAGTTCATGGGGTGAAGGATGCAGTGCAACTGGTGAGAGCTTAGGAACACAATCTAGGATAACTCCAGTGGGGAATGTTATTGTAAGATAAGGAAACCTCAAATCGATGTCAAAATCACTTGCATTTTTGAAAGAAGAGTACAAGCAACATAATACTGCCACTTTTCTGTTTTTAAGAAAAAGCTTGATACTTGGAAATTAATATTTGGATGAGGAAATGAAGTGAGAATTACTGGTCGTAAATGTTTCAACAAAGTTGTTCTTTGTTGGAAATTATGTTGCAGGTTATTGCATCTGAAACAGATTTTTTGTTCTTTTAATTGCAGTTTGTTGGAATTTTGTATCGAAAAATTATAGCTTAAGGATCTGTGCAATGCAAGAAATTTTTTTGGAGCAGGAAAGGATTGTGAAAATGTTCTTCATTTGAGGCTGTGCTTTTCCACTTGAGAATCTGTGACTGGTTGAACAGGCTATTCCAGACACTGTTCTCTAGAGCTGTCTTATCTTAACAAACTTGTTGTTCATAATTGTATACATCAAGCTTCCAAAATCAAATTGAATGAATAGTTAAACAATGTTTATATACAACTTTTATTTTCAAAATTTCAAAGTGATTTCAGTCACCTATATGTGAGTTGAGCAGCTATATAAATTTAACAATAATAATTTACAATGCTATTCAAAGGATACATTTAAAACATAAAATAGGGTAAAATAAAAATATCTTGTAAAGGAGAATTTAAGTACTGTGATGGCTGATACAATAATTTTAAAAATAGCTAAATATATTTGTATAGGGTCCTAACAAAACTATTTTTGTTAATCTGTTTTTAGCCTCATGATGAATCTTCACTCATTACAGAATTCATTTATATATATTCATATTTAAATACATGTGTGTGCATGTATATGTACACATAGAGACATATATACCCAAACATAAACGTATATATGCATGCACACACTTGTCTGTATTTATATAAACTAATATTTGTGACTTGACTGGTTTGGTTTTTACAGGTGAATACCAGAGAAGAAGTGGAAGATCTTTGCCGATTAGATAAATTAATAGATTTGATCATTCCCCGTGGCTCATCTCAGCTGGTTCGGGATATCCAAAAAGCAGCCAAAGGAATCCCAGTGATGGGGCACAGTGAAGGGATTTGCCATATCTATGTGGACTTGGAAGCCAGTGTTGAGAAAGTTACTAGAATAGGTGAGAGATTTTGTTTCTTAAGGGTACGCATGGAGGAGGTGAACTGTCAAGTCAAGTCTCTACTTATCTATATATTTTGGATGTTATAGAGTAGCCTTGTGATCCAAATGTACAGTAAAACTGACAAAATCCCTAAACATAGGAGCAATATAGGTAGTCCTCAACTTACAATTGTAACTGAACCTGGAATTATAGATGTAGATTGTTGCAATCATATGTAGAGGCACCGACATGACCAGAAGTAATTTTCTGCTCTTTTTTTGGCCACAGTTGTTAAATACACCCATTAATTTGAATGGGCATTTTTTTGCCAGAAATTGGCCAAAAAAATTGTGAATTGCTGTCACGTGACTGCAGAATGCCACAATCAGTCGTAAAGCTGATCTGTCCAAATGCAGTCACATGGCTGCAGGGAAGTGGCATCACCATTTACGACATCTGTGATTGTAGGGAAGTGGAGTCACCATTTACAATCTCTGGAAGTGTTTTACAGGCCAGAAAGTAGTTGTTCCATGGCCACCATAACTTCAAACATGTAGTCCAAGACACCTGGAAAATGCCACTCTGTAGGATGATTGCTTTCCAGCTTCTTTAAACATGTCTTTAAACACTGAATTAAACCAATTATCTCTCCTTCCTCCAGTGAGAGATTCAAAATGTGAATATCCTGCAGCCTGCAATGCTTTGGAGACACTGCTAATACATCGGGATTTGCTGAGAACTCCTGTATTTGATCAGATTATTGACATGTTGCGGGTGGAACAGGCAAGTGAAAATGGTTTCCAGTGGGGGTTAAGTGTAACAAATTGGCTGTCAGTAATTTCAGTGCAGTGCGGGGTGCTGTCTAAAAGATGACACTATCAATGCATACATTGAGAAATTTCTAAATGCAGGAGTAAGAGGTGTATATATATCAGTAGCAGTATTTGTTTGCCCTGATAGCGCATATTGATTGAAACCAGGTTTTCTAATAGTGCACCTTAGCTTTGGGATTCTTTGCAATCTTATTTAGATTGGACGAAAATTAAAGATATTTGAAAATAAGGTTCTTTTTGAGAGTCCTGAATCCAAGTTCTTGGAAACGCAGAATTCCTCAATGAAAATTGATTGATTATTGTGTAATATTCTTGGAACCAGATTATAGTGCTGGATAGTGAAAGAATTTTATTTACAATTTCAAAGGTCGAGAGCTTGATTGAAAAAAACAACTATGAACTAGCCTCACAAATGAGACAGAAATTCTTCATCTATATTCCTATGTAAAAATTTATGACTGAATAGATTTGACCCAATGCTGAGAGATTTTTTTTCCAGAGACACATAGAGAAGAATATGCCCAAAGCCAAATTAATGTGTGCAACCTGGGAATTCTGAGAGGTGCAGTCCAAGTGCATCTACAAGATCCCAGGTTAGAGAAGGCTGATCTTCACTGATTGATAGGGCTCTCTAAAGTTTCAGACAGAGACTTTTCTGGCTCTATCTGGAAATGCCACTGATTGAATTGGGTACTGTGCATGCAAACACATGACACCTAGCACTCTACTCATCTTGGCTGGATTCACACGTCACTCTGGATAACTTTGTGCCAATCATCCTTTCAGCCTGACTTACCTTACAAGGTCAATTGTGGGGGTAAAATAATCTCATGTAAGCCACCTCGAGCTCATGGAGAAAAGGCACAATATAAATTTAACAAATAATGTAATAATATTTGGTTGTATGAAAACACACTCAGTAACGTGACTTACAGTTTAGTAAGATGCGCAAACCCAATTAAGGCTTACTTCACCAATCAAGTGATTGTGTTGTACAATGTGTGCATTGGGTCATCTATGTAACCAAAATATTTTGTGCAGAAAATGATTAGGCAAAGAATGCATAGTAAAGTGTATTTGTCTTTCATCAGGTAAAGATACATGCTGGCCCCAAATTTGCCTCCTATCTTACATTTAGCCCTTCAGAGGTGAAATCACTTCGCACAGAATACGGGGACCTGGAATGCTGCATTGAAGTGGTGGACAGTGTACAAGATGCTATTGAGCACATTCATAAATATGGGAGCTCCCACACAGATGTAATCATCACAGAGAATGGTTAGTGGCAAAATTGACTCCTCTGGTGCAATAAAATGCACATGTCTGTGTGAAGGATTCAGGGTAGTTGGCACACAGGCTGCTTCTGAAAGTCCTGTTTAAGAAGGTAAAATTCTGCATGATGCCTGTCTGTCTTCCCTTGCATTTGTAGATGCAATTTCAAATCCTATACATGACAAAATGACAAAAACTGCATCTTGACATCACAAAACAAGCTCTGTCCTTTTGTACTTCCATCACAACCTCATGTATAGAGGTATGCAAGGGCAAAGTTTGCATCATAATGCCACAATGCATATTTGCCCCCCATGTCTCCTCTGCCATTGCCACTGGCTTCAGCCACTTCCTCACTAGCATTTCCAGTCTTACCTCTGTGAACAGAGCTCCCAAGGAAAGAAAGATGCTCTTGTCACCTTCCTTGATGCGGCTGGCATTTCCTAATGTTTCCAGAGAAGCGCAGATGGAATATGTTGTGGCATCCTTATTGCACAAGTAATATCTGAAAGAGGCCTCCCTGTGACTTGTTTTTAATTATTTCTCTCTAAGGCTGCTCTCTGTTGCTAGAGCTCTCAGTTGCCCATTATTCCCTGCTTCTTCCACTGATCTATTGGGACAGTATGATCATTTTCCGGGATGAATCCCTCTTGGTCGAAACAATATACAAACTGGGAGTGATCGGCAGGCCTTGGAGCTGGTACTTTGAGTACCTTTAATACTTTTAGAAGAGACACATGAAGAGAGAGACATCTCCAGTGAGAATTTAGTGTGGCCACAGATATTTGAGTGACAAATCCTGAAAGAAGGCCTAGCTGCCTGGCCTTTATCAAAGATAGGAACGTTAGAACATTTTGTTGCAGGTTAGATTTTCAAAAAGATAACCTACAGAATTCATCTATGACAAAATATCTGTTTCTTAGTTGCAGGCATAGTACAAACTATCTTAGCATCACATTAATAAAAAAAATAGATGCAACACATAGAACAGGTTCAAAGAAGTGATTTTTCTTAAATTAGAATTTCCCACAGCAGCATAATACTATTATAAAACAAGTTATTCAGTAAGAATGATTTTTTCCCCCTTTGGTTGTTTTCAGAGAACACAGCAGAGTTCTTCCTACAGCACCTGGATAGTGCCTGTGTGTTCTGGAATGCCAGCACTCGCTTCTCAGATGGCTATCGTTTTGGGCTGGGTAAGGGAACGTGCTACTTGCTCTCTGCATGCTTGAAGCTAAATGCAAAACATTATCTTTAGGTTAAACCTATCTGCATTTCAAGTATGATTGACTTTTCTTTCTGGCATTTGATATTTTAAGGGGATTTGCTAAACTGCCTTAAAAAGCTTTGGGATATTTTAGTATTAGAGCAATTTAAGCCAAAATGCAGGAAGAATCTTGATGAGGTGGAGGTTATACAACCAGCAGAGCACTTAAAACCAGTGTAAGATGTTGCTAAAATGCCCTGTTCAGGAAATATTGTGGGAAAGATGTAATGGAATCAGTGCATAATCAAGAAGCAATTGTCAACAGCAGCCTGTAACAACCAAAGTATGGCATGAATGATAAAGTAAGCCATAGACAATATGTAAGCGTTTAGCATGAGGATGCAATTTAAATAGAAATATACCAGATATTGGCTGAACACATTTAACTGCTTTCCATTTAGTGCTGTGTCAGAAAAGGAACCCAGGTAATCTGAATAAAGAGAAACTGTTTCAAGAAGGAGAGAACAACCTGATAAATCAAGAGATAGAAATGAGTAAATCCTGGCAAGATTTTGAAATGAGGGAAAACATGATCTGGATAACATGGCCTGTAACTTTAGAGAGTATTTCCCCCCCCTTTCTGTTTCTTTTTAAATCTGTTTTTATCTTTCTTCCTCAGGTGCTGAGGTGGGCATCAGCACATCACGGATCCATGCCCGTGGGCCAGTGGGAATTGAGGGGCTCTTGACAACTAAGTGGTTGCTACGTGGGGACAATCACATTGTTTCTGACTTTTCCGAGCAAGGGAGCATGAAATACCTTCACGAGAACCTTCCCATCCCACAAAGGAACACTAACTGAGAATCTGAGTGAAGAGCTTGGTACTTATAGGGCTGTTGTTATTTCAGAACCTAGCCTGGGAAGGAAATGAGCCTTTTCTAGGCATGCAGTTTTTATGGGTGCTCAGGAGTGTGGAAAGTGGGGTTCTCTGCTTTAGTTCCCCCCCACCCCCTCAACTGCATTGTGTAGGGGACACATGCAGATGCATTACAGGATCTCTTGCAGTGCAGGAAAAAGAACTTTTGATCTGTCATTAATGAAGATGTGTGTCATCAGGTCTTTCATAGTTCACTCCAAATCACTGGAAAGTTTTCGGCTAGTAGCAGAACTGAATGCCTTTTTTCCCTGATGCTTTTCTTGCTTTGGGAAAAACATTGGGTTTTTTTCTTTCTGTCTCCTTCTCTAGAAATTTGTAGCAACTTAATTTTTAAAAGTGCTCCATCAGTTCATCTCTTATTTAATATATTGAATTATCTTAATAAATTTTCCAGGTACAAAATAAATGGTCTTTATCCTCCAAACATTATTTTTCATGCCTAATATCCTTTAATTACTGGCTGCCTTGTGGGATAAGAGGCTAGGACAGTAATAGTTGTACCAGTCAGGGGTTTCACTATGACCCTTTAATGAATATTTGTATCAAATATTTTGTTCCTGAATTTTATATAGAATTATTATTTCCCGAGACAAACATATTTTTCCAATTTTATGGTTTTGCAAATAAAACTCCCTTGCAATAAAATTATGGATTCAACCATTTTGTTCGAAATATATATTGTGTTGTACTAACAATGGGTGACACATTTATGTAGCTTGCAACACACATTGTGGAGTTGTACTTGATTAGCACTCACCTTATTTTTGTTTGGCAAAATCTTTTTAATCTTTTAAGCTCACATATACTTATGAGTGAAGTGGTAGTTATTTCTATTTTGAATACATCATTCAGAACAAGATGCTAATTTCCCCATATTAGCAAGCTTCCAGCTGAACCATGAAGCTTATGTTTTTGAGATCCAATATTGGCACTTGACCTTCTGAACTGAACTGCTTTCATTATACCTCTCACAGGCTTAATTCATGGTAGATTTCAGTTTAATTTTCCACATGATGAGTTGTGTGTTGATGTGTGCATTCCTTGTTTGTTTGTTTTTGTTTTTGCTTGATTAGGTGGCCCAGTGAAAACTACCTAGTCCAAGGAAGGTTTTTATCAGGAGCTATAAAAACCTTTGGAGAATGTTCTGGTAAACATAAACTCTTAACACTAAATTTGTATATTTCAGATATTTATACCTGTTATTCCTAAACATTCCATACAAGAGAAGGTAGTACTTAATCTAGTCTCCATTATGTAATGCCCAAACAGCAATTCGATATCATTTTGTGTTTCCTGACTTAGAAAGCTATACTTTTACAGGATTTGAAGTATTTGAGGTACATTCTTCCAATGGTAGAAAGCTATAAGAAAATTATAGTTGTGATACTGCAAGTATGGGAAGGATTCAGTTTTGTCTTGAACATGGATGTACTGGGCTTTGTTGCCTATTGGCCTTAATCTTCTAACTCCTTGAACTCTCATTAGTTATGGGAGTGGGTCTTAGTTCTTTCCCCAAACATGGAAAGGACACTGGGAATTTTAGTAGATGTGTAGTTTTGTGCCATTTCTTTTAAACCGAGATTCCATTAAAATGCCATATGTGTTTTCCCAACCTATTGATTTTCTTTATGTTTGATAACATACTGTGAACTTGTTATATATACTGTTTGTTTTCCCATATACTCACATGCTCGGTATCTGATTTATGCTGTCTGAAAAAAACTGCTTTTGGAGAATTCATTGAGAGAATGTGTGCAAATTATTATTCCAAAGTACCAATTCTGGAATGTTTGTTTAGTCATGACAGAAGCATCACAATTAAAATAAGGGTACTATATGACATAAAATATAAAATACAAGATTAAAATACGTACAAATTAAACAGATCTTGCCAAGAAACTAGCAACACTAGTTGCATTCTGTTATGCTGCCATGAGATCCTTGAATGTACACTGATTGGGATACAAAGAGCAGTTATACATATGTGTTGTCTGCATGTCACCACAGTCAGGAAGAATAGAAGCCACTGGATAGCCCCATTTGTTCATAGTGTCTCTGGATCTTCTTGTACCCATGTGGAGCCTATCCAACGATTTCCCTCCCTCCCCGTTTTCACCAGACACAGATGCCAGCTCCTCCACTGGTTCTATCCAGTGTTGGTTCTTTGTAGTTTTCCATATTCCAGTCTGCTTTCAAATTCTTCAAAGTTTTCCATTAACTTAAGGAAGCTTTTCCTGGATTTTAGCCTCTGCTGATCTGGTTGTAGGCCATAGCAGATAGAGAATTTTGGAATGATTTTACGTCAAGATTGTTGGGTTTTTTTTGCTGATCTGACAAATGAAGGAGCTGAAGAAGAAATAGCTCTATTCTGTAATATCAGTGATACAAAATTACTTCTTTATAACTTCCACAAAATGTTACCTTTGTGAACTGGTAACATTTGATTATTACAAGCTATCAAGTCATTTTTTTATTCCAAGTGACCACATAGTTTTCTTCATGACAATCTCTCCCAAGCCTGATATTTCAGATTGTCCAATATTGCACCCATTGCCACTATAACTGAGCCCACTCACTTAGCTGCAGATCATCCTTTACTTCTGCCTCGTAAATACTTATAGCTCTGAGATTGCTGTGCCACTATCTAGCTGTTTTGGGCAATTTTATAGACTAAGGTTACAATACATTAACCATTTCTCTACTGATTAACACATTACCTTGACTGATAAATGTTGACACATTGATACCATGCTTAAGATCACTCTTATCCCATATTGTACTAGGAAATCTAATCAGCTGCTTTGTTGTGTTATTGTGATCTTGCAGCATGCTAAATGCTTTCAAACATAGCTTCCCCTGTAGCTTTGAAGGGCCTTGTTGCTTCTGTTTATTGACCCGAAGCTAGACTGAACTGAACTGAATATATCTGCTGTATGATAAAACTGCATGTATTCTGGATGGAATTTTAGACAAGATGAAAAAAGATGCTTTCATTTTATTTTGGACATTGGAGAAGCAAAATATTTGGAGTTCTGGATAATTTTCATTTAAATAGAGCATGTTGTATGCCCTGAGGGCTTTTCAATAAGATGAACAGCTAACCAAAGAGAAACTGTCTTGTATTCAACCCTCATTAAAAAGGAAATTGACTTCATGCTTCTTTACAGCACCTTTCCAATGAGATTAGCATTTCTGTGATAAATCTGTCATGACACATCTTTGTGCTTCTGCTATTCCCGTGATCGTCCATAATATACAGGTAGTCTTACAACAGTTCATTAGTTGACTGTTCAAAGTTACAACAGCATTGAAAAAAGTGACTTATGGCCATTTTTCACACTTACGACCACTGCAGCATCCACATGGTCACGTGATTTACATTCAGATGCTTGATAACTGACTCACATTTATGACGGTTGCAGTGTCCCGGGGTCATGTGATCTTTTGTGGCTTACTCACTTAACAAATGTGGTAAGAAAATTTGTAAAATGGGGCAAAACTCACTTAACAGATTTTCCACTTAGCAACATAAATTCTGGGCTCAATTGTGGTTGTAAGTAGAGGACTACCTGTACTTGCCCAAATATTTGGAAATGCCCATTGGATCTTAACACTCAGAGGGATCTCTGAATATTCAGTAGCAATTTCGGAATCAAGCAATACAAGCATATAAATATATCTGTCTCTAAATAATATTCTACATTCCACCATCCATATATAATATATAATCCATGTATTGTAATGTGCCAGTTTCTGGGAATCTTTTCTCCTTCCCTCTCACATAACTCTAATTGTAATGTTGTTGATTTGTTCTTCGTGTTATTCAACTATTTTCTGAAGTTTGATTCAATCATTCTAGGTCCCTTGCTTCTTCTTCTTTGGACATATTGCTTGATTCTAGTGATGGAAAAACATGCTTTCTACCCAAAAGTAATACAATAGTTGATGGTTCAATTCTGAATGGGTATCTGCTTCGAACAAGTGGTCGTTGACAGAGAAGCCATGCTCTTGGAGCACCTGAATCTCTAAATCCTCTACAGCTCTAGATGGGGAAGAAGACTGGACCAGTATGTCATCGAGATAACACTGGACCCTAACTGGTATAGCCCTAAGGTGGGCTGCCAACAGCTTAGTGAATGACTTGGGGGCTGAGGAAAGTCCAAAGGGCAAGGCCCTGTATTAGTAGTGCCTCTCATTGTAGCAGAACCTGAGGAATTGTCAATGAGAAGGGATAATAGGGACATGGAGATAGCCCTCCGTTAAATCAATGGAGATAAGGAAGTCCCCCTCCCTAATTCCCTCCAGGATGGACTGGAGTGAATATATCTTGAACTGCCTGTATTTCACCCGGCGGTTAAGGTGCTTCAAATCCAGAACTGCCCTCCATCCCCCCGGGGCTTTTGGGATTACAAACAATATGGAATAGAATCCCATGCCTTGTTGACCCTCAGGCACCGGCTAAATAGCCTGAATCTCCAGCAGGTGCTGAATAGCTGTTTCCATAAGGGTCCTTCTCTCTGTATTCCTAGAGATAGGGCAACAAATGAAAAACCTCGGGGGCCTAGAGAGGAATTCTATAGATAGTCCGGAGCGGACTGCCTCCAGGACCCAGGTGTCAGTGGTTACTTCTTCCCAACGCCTGGCAAACAAGGCCAGACGTCCCCCAATGGGAGGGTTGGTCTCCATTTTATCTGGGGCATCGGAAGGGACAACCCCCAGCCTCTTGAAAGGGCTGCTTATTGTTAAAAGGACGATGTCTACCTGTCCTGTCCTGGGTTTGTTCCTGCCTGGAGGCAAAAGACCTCTGGGGTCTGGGGAATCCCCCTCCTGTTTCGGGAGTCCTATAATAGGAGCGTCTGGCATAGGGAGTTGGTCTATAATCACTTTTTCTGGACTTGGATGGCAATACCTTCCCTTTGTCCTTAGAGTCCACTACGACCTTGTCCAGATCCTCTCCAAACAATTTATCCCCTTTAAATGGAGCCATGGCCAACCTCCACTCATATGTGCCTCATATCAGCCTGCCATTGCTTTAGCCAGAGCAAGCGACAAGAGGTCACTGTTTCCCCTATTGCCCTGGATGCAAATCTGGCAGCACTCAGTGTGGCATCAGTTGAAAATTCTACTGCTGTCAATAGTTTGTTCACATGCAGGTGTGATCTGACATCGTCCAGTGGAATTCTCTCCTGTAGCTCCTGGAGCCAGATGAGAGAGGCCCTGTTGAAGAAAGATGTGGCTGTGGAAGCTTTCACTGTCCATGCTGCTGACAGGTGTGTTCTTTGCAACGTTTGCTTGGCCTTCTTGTCCTCAGCCTTCAGTGAGTCCTCAGGCTCCCCAGAGATGCCTGTGTTGGCCTGCAGGGCTGCAACTGGGGCATCGACATCGGGCACTTCCAGGGCCTTGGAAAGATCACCTCCTACATTAAACAATTCCTTGTCTAGGGAGGAAGGACTTGGATCGGACCCGAGGGATGACCACTGTCTTTGGATGGCTGTGGTGAACATCTTTGGCACAGGGATGACATCTGCTGTGACTGTTTTCTCAGAAAACAGTGGGTCATTGGGGTCTTCAGAGGGGTCTGCAGGCTCCTGCGGTTCAGGGACTAAGCCTCGCCCTGTAGCCTTTTTGGCCGTAAACAGGAGAGATCTAAAAATGGCAGGTTGGAACAAGCCAGGGATAGAGCCTTGGTCAGCCTCATTGACGCCCTCATCATCAGAATAGTTCCTGTCCATCAGCTTGCCACTGTCAGATGTGATGGAGTGGGAGCTTTCAGCGGGAATATACGCACCTGATTCTGTATGCAGGGAAAGATCATCATCATAATGAGACCTGTGTCTCCTACTGCGTCTGGATGAGGAAGCAGAAACCTCTGATGGAGAACCTCTGGTCTGTCTCAAGACAGCTGACACTCCTTGCCTCACTGCCTCATTTAACATAGCCTGCATATTAACTTGGAACTCAGGTTCCTGTGCCCTAACTGGTCTGATCCCAACTGACATGGGAGTAAAGGTTGCTTCTGGAGCCATTCTGTGCCTCTGATCAGTAACTGTCAGTTGCTCTGTTGTTGGGCAGACAGAGAAGAAATTTCTGATCTCAGAAGCCTCAATAGATTCCTGCTCTTCAGCTCCCCCTATGGCCACTTCTGCTACTGCAGACCTGTCACTCTGCAGTTGCCTCTCTCCTCTCGATAATGGCCGTTCCTCATTTGGGCGGGAAATTATGCAGGGCGCCATTTCCTTATCATTTTGCTCCTCGAGCCCACACTTTATCCAGTGCCTTGTCCCTGAGGTGCTCATCCCTCTCTGCTGCCTTGGAGCCCTTTCGGGTTCCTGCAGCCTTGTGGTTTGCCTTGGGGTTGTAAAATGAAGCTATCTATTCTGGGGCTGCTGGGCTTAGAGAGTGTGACGGCTGTTGAGCTGCCCCCTCCACTCTCCTGACATTGCGGCTAGCCTTTTGTGATTCCGCCATCTCTGACTCCAACGATCTTACTCTGGAGTCACCCCGAGCACATTGCAGCCTTTTACTTTCCTAAACCTACTCTCACTACCTGTACTCTTCACTGCAGTTCTTCTTTCCCTTGAAAGGCTACCGCGGTTAATCTCAGCATCTCCCACGGCCAAAACTGCTGGGAGCCTCCCAAGC